AGAGAGAGACAGATTGAGAGAGATAGTTTAAGAGAGAGAGAGTTCATGTTTATTTTAAGCATTTTGCTACAAAATTGCTTCCTGGTTCTGGATGAAGACTTGGGCCCTCGTCTGGTGCAGCCTGGACCTCCCACCAGGGCTTGGGAAAGGGACAAGTGGAACTTGGCCCTGTGACAGCCGCGGGGTCTTCGCACACTGCCACAACAAAATTATCCATTTAAGCACTTTCCTTTCTCCTGCCACTTAGTGAAAGGCTTTTATTGTAGCCTATTTTGTATTGCAATCTTGTTATTTCCCCCCCTCCCCTGACATCAAGCTGTAAGACTGTCTCACAGCCGGCGTAGCCAGAGACAGAGAAATGAGAAGAATATGCGTGAGCACCAAGAACGCGGTTTCCTAGCAACGGAACTATTTCAAAGGCTTCATAACTCTAGTGTTGTTTCAATTTCCATAGCAATGTGGAGAATAGTACAGAGTGTATGTTGCTAGCTGCCATCCGCGAGCAAGTTCTAATCAACAAATGATGGATAAATGTCAAGGGACATCTATGTGTCCAGACAGATTCCATCTTATTACCTGTTATACATACTCGCTTCTACAATCTAGGTTTTGTTGCTGAAAGCAATGTGTTACGATAAATCACACAGCTTGATTTTTAAAAATTGTCTTCCCCTATTTTTGTTTTTCTTCTCCCCACTGCAGAGGTATTAACTGAAACATGTCAAAGGAAAAAAGTATTCAAGAAGAGAAGAATCTATAAATTTTAAGAATAAAAAATCTTGCAAATTTACTGATTAAGAAGTTGGATCTGGAGGCCAGAACAAGTAGTTATGCAAACATTCAAATTTTTTTTTTCCAAAAAGGAGTGGTTATCATCAAGTTGTTAGTAATGGAATGATCCTTTCTGCCTTCTTCTCTGAGAAGAAATAATTTTAATTGTGAAGTTTGACCCAGCAAAAACTGAGCCCCATTTAAAATGAGTTAGGTTGCACACAAACCACAATTATAAATATATTTTCTTCTTTTTCAACCGCAAGGGTAGCTTCCAGCTTCCCTTAAAGAAAGAATACATGAACAAATACGGATGAGGCCTTTCAAATTCATCATGAAATGAATGCTAAAGGCTAAAAAGGATCAAATTATGTAAATATGTGTCTAAAAAGACATAAAAACAGAGATATATGTGCAATGTATCCAGTTCCTAAATCAAAAAGACTTGGGCCAGCCAAATAGCTCAGCAGATTAAAGCACCTGTTTACGCAGATGCTTGGGAGGCTAAAAACAGGAGGACCACTAGGAGTCTGATGTGTGTAGTGAGACCCTGTAGATTGAGTACTAATACATAAAATAAGACTTATTCTTATATTACTCATATTTTTAAAAATTTATTTTTTTTTAATGTATTTAGTACAGGGTCTACAGGATCTCACTGCGTAGATTGGACTTGTAGTGATTCTTCTGTTTTCAGCCTCCCAAGTGCTGGGATTACAGGCGTGCACCACCATGCCCAGTCTCAACTGCCTTCTCAGTGTGCCCCGGGGGCGGGGGCAGCATGGCACAATGAGTATTGAACCCTGGTTCCTGTGCGTTCCTAAACAAATACTTTAGTCTGCTGAATTGTCAGACTGGCCTCTCCCCATATATTTTTAAGAAAGAAAAATCTATAGCAATGGTCTGTGATTATTGGGAAGAAAATAAAGTGAAAAAGCAAGAGATAAAACAACATTCCTGAGCTCTCCTGTGGATTATCTGACTAAGCGCTATTAATTATGACCCAGTATTTTATGTGCAGCTTTTTTTCCCTTTACTTTGGTGTATTCTATAGCGCTATTGTTCATAGTCTTCATAGTGGCCATGGGAAGCGGATTCTCTTCTCTTAGACTGTGGTCAGTGTCATTCTTATTTGGCAATGCGGTTACAGTAAGTGACACCCTTTGCTATTGTCAAGCAATGAACTCTTTACCATCAAGTGGAATTCTGTGGGCCAAAGCAGGGCTTCTGTGGTGTTCCCTGGTGTTCGTTCACAAAGCTCTTGTAGACAAAGTCTTTTAGCTAGCACCAGCAGGTTTTCCTCTTAGGTATACTAAAACAGACTTTCTTTACAGCCAAAACCCATGTATTTATACTAATATTGCAAGGTATTTTTAAGCTTCAATGTAAAAAGAAAAGGGGATATATGTTTTTTTTTTTTTTAATTAGGGTGTTAGAATTAAATAGTGTTATGAGGCTCTGGTTTTAATTTATTAGGTACAAAATTTTTCAATTTGAGCTAATTATTGAAAATCCAAAAGTAGATATATTATCTATATTTTATTTCCCATTAATGTAGAAATGCTGTATTTGCCAATATCTATTTTTCCAGAATCAATTTAATTCTGTAATTTAATATAACTGCTCTTAAATTATATTTTGATGTTTCCTAGTTTAATTAGCAAGTATGAAAAAGTTCAGATGGAAACTAAGACTTTTTGTGCCAAATATTTTTCTTCTTGTTAGCAGCAAAAATTTGATAAGCCATCATATCTGTCACTTAAAAACCTGCAGATTTTTTATTGTATCCTAAGACTATCTAGAAATCTTATTTCTGAAGAAAAAAGAGAAATTTGTTTCAAGATATGAAACTTTTTTATTCCATAATACCCAGGGTATTAATATCTGAAAATTGTATGTAGGCAGGTCATATTCCTTACTGAAAGCTTTGAACAATTCATCCTTAATTGTCAATCAAATCACATTATGTGTCTGTTCATTTTGAACAATTTTCTTACTTAAAGATATTAGAGACAATTTTAATACAGAAGGCCCACAAGATGGTTTAGTTAGAAAGGAATATAAGCTAAATTATTCAATTTCCTTTTAACTTGCTCTCTTTTGGTACATAAGGAATCTGACACTTGGAAGATTTCAACGCAGACACTTTAGATAGAAATCTGTATGGAGGGAACAGTAAGGCTTGGTGACTAGAAGTGTGGTGGGCTGACCACTGGTGGTCAACTTGTGACCACCAGCGAGCTGACCCAGCGCGGCGCTGGGTGTGGGAGGCCCGCCGGAGGACTGCTGCGAGCGGCATAAGAGGCAGAAGTGGAGAAGAAGAGGAGCTGTTAAGGAACTGCTGGTTTTCTTGGAGGAGCTGGCTTTCCTGATGAACTCGGGTGTTCTCATCCTCTGAGGAGCTTGGGACCTTGTCACTGAGAATGGCTATGGTTCCCTTTGGGGGGCTTTGGTCCTTTGAGTATCACTTCCTGGCTTCAGAGGGGAAGGTGGTGCACTGTTGAAAGCCCTGGAGAAGCCTGTTGTGTTGGCTTGCCTGATAATACACTTGGCTATTCGCATCACCAGAGGCGCTCAGGACCTCACTATCACTGAGCAGAGCTGTGGTGCTTTTCAGGGGAGCTCTTGTGTTTACTTCAAGCATTGCTTCCTGGCTCCAGTGCAGATCCCCCAGCCTGCTGGCACAGATCCTTCATCCCGCTGGCACAGACTTTCTAGTTTCCACCCCTGATCTTGGGCCTTTCCCAGCATAGATCCGTGAAACTGACCTGCATGAGGCACTGTCATGGACTCTAGGCCTCCAGCTGGATGCAGGGAGGCACTGTTACAGACTCTAGGTCTTCAGCGGGACTTGCACAGGACATTGCTGTGGGCTCCAGGCCTTCAGCTGGATATTTTGGTCCTTAGTGTGTGGACAGATTTCCTGCAGTCTCTTTGTGTATGATTCTTTGGGTGACTAGTATAAAATAATCTTGTAAATTATATGTCCTGGATTATTCCCCTTGTAAAACTCCTGATTATAACAATAAGCTAAGTCAGATTATTTAAACGATGATACGTCCACTCACTTTGGAGAATTAAGTCACTTTTCATCTGTTTTCTTTATAGATTGTCCTTAGATTACACCTGAGGGCTATTGTTGAGATCTCCATCCTACTGAAATAGTGGAAAAATATTGCTCGCTCCCTACCTGGTAAATCAGTGGTTTTTCACACACTACTGTAAAAACTATGCTGTGTGTACATGTTTTTGCCTGTGTCTCTTTCAAATGTGTGTATTATAACAGAATTCTCAAGCAAGCTAGATAATGCTAAGGGACAGAATAGACCATTTTCTCAAAATCATTAGCCTGGTACTGTGTCAGTATTTATTTTAGTCACCACTTAGCCTCAGAGTAAATGCTAAAATGACTCACAGACCTCGTAAATCCTATGTCAATGCTTGCAAGCATTTAGAGCAATTTTCACACTGGTTGGAAACTATCATTTCACCCCTGAACAACTCAAGCTGGAATTTTTGTTTTCGATGATTGTGGTGGTTGTGAGCAGCCCCACTTATGAAGGGGAGCATCTTCTTCCCTCGCTCCTGACAATGAACTTCAGTCATGACCTGGGAAAATACCGTGATTTTTGGTCTCTAGTTCTTAGGGACAATTGCTGTCTATTGAGCCCGGCCGACTGTGTGCGCTGTTTTGTATTTTCTGAACATAAGCATATGTATTGAAATTCATCATTAGTAACCTTTGCCACAGTGTGGTAAGCAAAAGAAATGCTTATTAATCTTCAACTTTTTCTATCTAAAACAAGATTAGTTGATATAAGATGTAAGCCTGTGCTGCAGTAGGAAGTGTAGGTTGGGGACAGGTAAGAAACATCATTTTGTTATGTTTATGAATAGTGCCTTTTATAAGCAGGTCCCTGTTCATCCCCCAGGCTCTGTAACAGACCTGTCTCTCTCCACACAGCCTCTCTGGAATCCAGCGTCATGGCCTGCGGCACCTCTGGCTATGTTTGCCTTTGCATAGACCCATGCCTTTGAATCTGTCATTCCAGAGTGCCTAGCGTCCTCCCAAACTATTCCTTACATGCTTCTCTTCAGCTTGGAATCTTATACACTTGGCGGTGGAGATCAGCATTAATCTGAAGGTCAAGACATTAAAAGGATACCTGCTAGCAGTAGCAGGCCCTCCTAACCTGCCTCGTCTATTTCCCAAGAATTAGATTTCTCACCTCTCTCCGAAGAATGCAGTGGACCATGACTATAACAAAGCCTTGCAATGAGTCAAACACAGCGAAAAGAATCTGAAACAATATGGAACGTTTATCCGTCATAGCTAGAACTGCAGACATCCACGTCAGAGCCAGAAGGGGCAAAACCACGCACGAGCTCCAAAGAGAGGCCCTGTTGGGAGAAAGAGAAAAAAGCCACATTACGTAGCTGTGTGCTGGGCCCTAGGCCGGCACCAAATCCCCCGTCAGTAAAATATTGTGGTCTGTGGCACCAAGATGATTAATTTGGAAACCACAAAGCTGATAGCATTTGAGAATTTTATTGATTACTTTATAAACTCTCCCACAGTAGTTATAAAGCCAATTAGAAATATTTTAAGTATTAGCAAACACTTTTTTTCATCATAGCATATTCTCACATGCACTGTAATGTTTTACAACAAGAAGAGATGTAAATGATTGAGACTAACATGGCGTTACTGGCGGTGGTGGCTGACAAAGCTGTTGTTGAAACTACTCCACACTTGGCACATTTGAGCGTCAAACCGCTATGAGGCTCACTCATCTGACTGCAAACAAACAGAACACCCACAGAAAGAACAAAATATTGAATTGTCACCAAAGAAACCACTGCTGCAAGTTAGCTTTTCAGTATGATTTCATGCAGAAAGTATATTTATCAAAGATGAACGTCTATCATTTTCAAATTGCATTTCTACGACATATATCCTGTCAATGTTTAGCTTTCATAATCTGAGGCTTCCCTACATGCAAAACATACTTCCATCAGTTACAGCATAAGTGGCCCTTGGTCTATAGATCAGAATTTGCCGATACACTGAGTTAAATATAAGCATGTGCTTGTGTAGACATACAATAAAAGCCCATGATTCAGACCCCTAAGAATTAAATTTTTTATGATGTGTAAAGTCAAGGTTTTCACTGTCTTTTCCTAAAGATGCATATATCAGTCATAACCGGAAACGCAAACATTGCTTTCTGAGGTCCAACACAAGAAGGTATATACTATATACACATGCAATAGGTTAAGATGTCAATTTGATCTCAATAGATTCTTATTTAAAATATCCATATTTTAGGATGATCTGAATATAGAAGCTGATGAAATGGAATGATACTAGTTATAATGAAAACAGTGACAATTTCCCACTTCAATAAAGCACGTATACCATAATCATTATGTTCAAGATATTCTTCCCAAACATTAGTCATAGACTCCAGCTTCATCATCTTTAAGTGGTTTATTCTGTTCTAGGATATTCTGTAGTGAATTCAGATTTGAAGAATTCAGATTCCGTTTCCACACTGGAGAAGAAAAACTATGCTACAGAGAAAAACCTGATTTTATTTGTGACCCCTGGTTTTTCCGAAGGGAGTTATTTAGCTTCCATGTGTCCATGTGTTTTTGTGGTTTTTACTGATGCAATTCTCAGTTTAAGCATACTTTTGTTCTAGGCTTTGAAACAGGACTGAAAAGCCAAGGAATACTAAAAATTAGCTTTAAGTACACAGTCCTTTCTATACCCCTGAAAAAATGTCTACTTTTCTGATGATAAATTTAAATGAGTGTTCAGGGTACTTCTTTGCATTTATTTGAAACTTGAAACTAACTATTGTAACTATGCTTAAAGCCAACTGGTTGTGCAGACTAGATATTCCATTTTTGGATCTAAATGAAGTAGAGAAAAGATAAATCACTCAGGGAGCTGGGATATTTTTTCTAGTTTGTATGACCTTTACAAAATCAGCGTATAGAAAAGATACATAGTCTAGGTGCTAAATTGAGCTACTATGATGAAATTTTATAAATTTTATAAAATTTTATGTCTTTGTTCCAGAGGAAACTATACACTTATTACACAAAAAGTCCAAACAGATATAAAAAATAAAGTTAAATTAGCCATACTCTCCAATGCAGACTTTATTCACATGGTAGGAACATGGGTTCTTTACTCTTCTTCCAATTTATTCTGCTGCTCCTGTTATTAGTATGGGTCTCAAATCTATAGGTTCTACCTCCCTTTCCAACTCTTCTCATCTTTAGAGAAAAAAATCAATTATTTGATGGGCTTATTGTTAATATTCTAACAGGTTTCCTGGACAGAAAGTCCCTCTTTTTGAAAGTCTAAAAAAAATTGTTAAGGACCCTGTTCCATTGACTTCCATAAATTTCAAGTAGAGAAGACACAGAATTTAAAATAGTATGTAAGACAGCTTCACTGCAGACAAATAGAAAAAGTTAAATTTTCTGCTTCAGCTGTTCTAAAAAGCTAGGTGTTATGTATTTTGTTTTCATTCTTTCCAATTATCATTTTAATAAGCTATGTGGCTACTTGCAATAAATCACCCAATGGTAAATATATTTTACATATTCAAAAATTTAATATGATCTCTATACTATATAATTGTCTAGCTGTTGGTAAACTTTTATTCATTCATTTGTTTGTAAGTATTACAGAGTACACACTGTACTCTGGTTATTTTTAATAAATTATTATCAAAAGTAGGGAAGGGTACAAACACAAAAAATGAGAGAAGTGATGTCTGAAAACTATCTCTGATTTTAAATAATGATATAGTTTCAAAAGATACAGTTTATATATTTACACAATGAGTCAATCTGAAATTATTGATTTTACAATTGGGGAAATCAATAAAGTCAGTCAGGTGGGATCCTGCTCATGTTTCCATAATTAATTATGATTATTTGTTCCTGTGTGGTTTGGAAGGAGAGTCCACTTGATTGGCTGAGGGACGAAGGAACAAGTGCGCATGTGCATCGTGGGGGCGTGGCCTCAGGGCGTCTGCGTCTGTCCTGGCCCCTCCCTCTGAGACCTTGCTCCGGATGCTGCTCTCTGGCCTGCTTCCCGGCCCCAGGAGCTGCACAGCTTTGCTCCCCACATCTTTCCACCATGGTGTTCCCACCTTGGCATCAGCGGGCCATGAACGAACCGCTTCTTCTGAAACCATGAAAATATGAAAGCTGTCTTTCGTTAAGTTGTGGGCGCTTCCTTTAAGCAGCTATGGGAAAGTGAACCCCACAGTTTTTCACTGTAGTCCTCATTACTCTCCTCATTGTTTCTCTGTGAGCGAAAATGGGGTTTTTAACATCTATAGCTTTTAAAAAATTTCCTTCATTCACACTTTGGAACAGAAACAAATTTCAATCTCTATTTACTTGGGCTAACATAGCATTAGAGATTATAAATAATGTTTTAAAATGGAGACATTAGTAGGTCTGTCTGTTTTTTTTTTTTTTTTTTTTTTTTTTTTTTTTTTTTGAGCAGCGGGGGATTGAACTCGGGCCCTTGCGCTTGCCAGGGAAGAGCTTATTCTACTGAGCCACCTCCCCGGCTCCTGGTCTTCCTGCTTTGGATAGTAACCAGCACTCTGCTTTTATAACATATATTAATGATACACTTTAGGAATGGTGTTTGAGCCAGAAGCAAATGAAACTGATGTGGTGTACAAGAATACTTTTTAGAATTAGAAGTTTTAAAATTATAATTGTCTTTGCTAAGGTGAAATGGATAATTCTAAATTCATAAGACAATGTTGTCATTTCTTTTAAGCCTGTATTATCCCTCACAAAAGAGCTCCATGAATCTGACTGAGCATTATAGAATTTGATTAACTAAGAAGATAAACAGTGTATTTGATGCTACCATTTCTTTTCTTGATCTCATCTTATAGATGTTGGAATCATGGACTCTTGATTTAGTCTGGGAGTTGAAAACAGATCTGTTAATCTTGGCTTCCTCTTTTCATTCTTTACAAAATAGTCACTGTTGGTTAAGTGATTTCACTTGCTAGATGCCCTATGAATGCTTTATACATGTTTTATGTCAGAGACTTCATAAGACAAACATTATTTTCCCCTTTTACGGATGCAGGGGCTGAGCTGCAAAGCACGAAGTAACATACCCGAAGGTACACTCAACTAGCGAGCTGCAGAGTAAGCCTTTGCTTGACTTTCAAGCTTTATTCTAATAATTGAAACTCACCCTTTTTTGTTTTAATTATTCAAGTTTGCACCCTAATAGTAGAGCTACTCCCTATAATCAGTACTCAGTATGATCCATCTGTTCTCGCGTGATTCATCTGGCCGGAAATAACTAAAGAAGCTGTTACCCCCGCCACAGGAGGGACATGCCCAAGATTCACTGTGTGACAGCTTGCCGTCCAAATGGAAGCCCAGGAGATAACGCCCACTGGAAAAGGCCTGTAGACCAGAAATGGTCTTCCTAAGAAAGACCCTCCAGTGATGACTTTTATCACAGCGTTTTTATTCCAATGTGTGACATGGATAATGTCACACTTTTATATTGAAAGCTATTAAACTTAGTCTTCTATAAAAAGTACCTGAGTTTTCTTATAAACCATTACACAGATTATAAAGACACAAAAGACTTCGATTTCTCACTGGTTAGTGGTTAAAGACTGATTATTAAATAACACCATAAATGACTTAATAAGGAGGATAACTATAAGGGTAAGTTTCACTTGAAGTTACAGTTTAATTTTTAAAAAGTAGATGCTATAAACTTTTATAAGAAAAGATATAGGGTAAATCAAGGGCATTAATGCTTCAAGTTTCTACAAATTTTCATAATTTTCATAACTTCAAAAAGCTATCAGTCTGCTTATGGAATTTTGAAGTCATTAGCTATGGCGCTCTTACAATAATAGTAAAATTAAGAGAAATGCTTTTTGAACTGTGATAATTGGTTAAAGTGTACGAGTGAAAACTGTGAGTAGCCAGAAAATGAGAGTCGAAATATCATAAACAGTGAAAAATGTATGACAAAGATAGGGCTGCCCAGTGATTATTTAAAGTAAAGATTTTTTTCTAATATATAAAATTAACCAAAAAGAATGTAGCATTGTTACCCTATCTAACTGTGTTCATCCCGGTACAGTCCTGTCATATGCCTACATTGTGTCCCCCTACTCTTGATAAACAAAAACAGGAGGTCTTTCAAAGCCCCTAGCTGAGGACCACTGTTTTAAGTTCAGCTACAACACTTGATCTCAACTGACAAGCAGAAAGCATGCACAAATATATTTATGTTTTCTTAATGATCTGCTATATTACTTACAAATTTTTGGTCATAATATTAATAATAATGTCTTCAAAATTTTTGAGTGCAAAATCTATCAGACACACTTGTACAGTAAGAACAGAATTCAAGCACAGCTATATGTGGTCAGTGATGATCTAGAGTTGGAATCACTGGTAACAACCTTCAAAACCCACCAATTGCGGCTTACCCAGCTCTGTGTTTGAGTTTTTTATCTAGGATTCCATCTCTGGAAACAAGCTTATTAAATACCAAAATGCCAATCACCATGTTGACCTGCCAAACAGAAACAAAGTTAACCTTTCAGTGGTATTGAAAGAAATCAGATCCCCCTTTTAATAAACTTAAAACTGGAAATACAGACTCACAAAAGTAGTGATACCAAGTACTTTTCAAACGTAAGCACCGAAAGGCATGCAGATCAATTTAACACTGCTATTACTTTAAATTTTAAAGTACAAGCATTTTCTATTGTCACGGTTTGTAGTTAACACCAGAGTAATTAACCTTCAATTCCCTGATTTCTAAATCGTGCTGTACTAGGGCATTCTGGGGTGTTCTGGGGCATTCTCTGGCAGTCCTCTCTCTGAGTTGACCTTGAATAAAATCAATCGGCTAAATGAGGTTTACTCTATGTTTGAGAGCCAAAGGATTTTGAATTTGGAAACCATGAGACTAAGGTGAGCCTGGGTCAGTAATGGTGTCACCACCTGCAGGGAGGACACAGGGCTGAATTCCTCACTTGTGAGGCTATTGCCTGTGGGGTTAGGAAGCACTTTGACACATTCTATTTCTCTAGGCAAAAGGGAAGGCAAGTCATGAAGGGACACCAGCACCAATTCCTGAAACACTTCCATGGGCACTTTCTTTCTGAGACTCTTATCCATAGTTAAGAGGCCTTTCCAGTAACACAGTTGAAATCAGTGTGAGAAAGTTTTGTTCCTCAAGAAAGTTTGTGAAAAGCTCCAGAGACAGGCATTCCTTCCTAGCAGCCAATTACGAGGAGCATTTGTGGCTAAGCTAAAAACACTTCCTGAAAGGAAGATGGTCACATATGAGAACTTGTACTGTAACATCATGTAATTCAGTAGTATCCCAAATTTTCTGATCAAGGAGATTATGGGGCCAAAGAGGAAAGTGATCGATGATGTAGAGTGTACCTAAGGAGAGTTACATGGAGAGAAAATATTCTCTCAGGCTTTCACAGAGAGCACATTGGCCAAGCAATGGCCGTGACTCATCCACATGGCTGACACTGACAAAAGATCTACAATCTGAGGTATAGGATCTCAGGATAAATCCTGAGGGGATTTGACTGACCTTATCAGATCCAAAAGCTACAACTTTTGTTGCATAGATCTTGCTTTATCTTGGTCTTAACCAACCAGCAGAAAAGTATAAAAATGTAGTATAAGAAGTAAAGCCATGGTGTTATGTTGAGCTGTAGCGGACTCAGGTCAACAATTTCTGACACTGCCAGTGAAGCGGAAGACCCAATACTATTATGGACTACTGGACTCTTTCAGAATATTTTGCTGAGTTAACACACTTATAATATTCAAATGTCAGAACTAAACAAAAAAAAGGGATACAGATGAATGTCCATTTTGTGTCTGTGTATTCAAAATGGTTAGGATACATAGTTACATTCTCTTAATGAATAGAGGGATTTGTTCTAATGGTGTTTATAAATAGGATATCATGTCTGCATCTTGTACAGCAAATAACCACTAGGAAGAGAGTATGCAATGTGTTAATTATTGGAACTGTCCTATCAATTTGATTTGAAACTGTCTCATTGCTATTTGTTTCTCAAGAAAATTATGGGAAAAAAGGGAAGCTGGTCCAATGGGAAAGCAAGGCAATCAAGGAAAATACTCTCTCCTTTTTACTTTTCTTGCCCGTGAGCCATGGTGGTTGGGTGATGGGCTCTAGGCGCAATTCTTCTTCCCCTTCTGCCAGTGTAGATGTGAATGTGAAGTTCTGACAGCTATCTAACTGCGGATGTAAGGAAGACTCAAAGCACTTGTGTCAAGGGGGGCCTTCCAGGGGCCACTCTTCAGAGCTGCCTGATCAGACACTGTTCAGAGTGCTTTTTCATTGTTCCACTTCTAATTATTTGAACTAAGACACAAAGCACATTCTATTAATCTACAACATAATCGTGCAGAATTCAGCACCACTCCAAAGACCTTGCTGTGGTGTGTCTAGTAAACACGTACACTTTATTTCTTCATTGTAGGGCTACTTCTATATTCACTTAGTAGCTTAGGGAAGTAAGTCAGTTGATTAAATAAAAATTCAGTGCAATAGACACAAATATGTCTAATACCCTTGATTTCTCCACGCTCTAACAATCATGCCTGGAGGCTTCATTTTTTTTGCTTAAATTATGGACAATTTCTGCTCTCTGTTACAGCTCAGAAGAGGGAGAATAAATTTTAATGAAAGAAAAACTCAAATATCCAAGTTAATAAGAAAGATGCCACTAGCGCCCAGGTTTTAATGATGTCAAGAAACCACATGGTAATTTCGCTAACTAGAAATCTAACTGCACAGTGATAGGAATGTTTGTATTTAATTCAGGCCACTTCTTTCCTCCTTTATTTTCTTCAAACATTGCTTAGCAAAGAAAAATTTATGATCAATATATTTCAAAGGGACAAAGAGAACAAGGCAAAATGCTAGGAAATTTCACGTTATCGTAACTGGAAAACTTAAGAAATTGTTTTGTGATTCCAAAAAGAAAAACTTTAAAATATTTATGCACCACATTGGGCTCGGTTCTTAACTGAGGCTGATTTAGACCCCAAGGGAAAATCGCCTGGCAGGGTTTTGATTGTCATAACAGGAACCTGCTGTGGATCTATGGTAGGTAGAGGGGCAGATGCTACTGGTCCTGTGAGACAGCCAGGATAGCTTGCAATAAGGAAGCATTTGGTCCAAACTATTAGTGTAACTGAGGTTTGAGAAACCTTGCTAAATACATATAGAGAGCTATAAATATACATATAAATATATATCAGGATACTTATTAGTGGCAACCTTGGAGTAACCTTCCCATTCATAAGTAAATATTAATAAATGATGAGATTCCATACACTGAAAGGGAAGAATCTATTTAAACTTCCTCAAACTTCTTCACAAATCTGAAATTACTAGGAGATACTGTACTGCTATGATTTTTTTTTTTTTTTCCTCAGAGCAGAAGATTGAATTCAGGCCCTTGCACTTGCCAGGCAAGCACTTATTCAACTGAGCTATCTCCCCAGCCCCATGTACTGCTATGATTAATATTTTTCAGTAATTACAACATGAATATTTCCAAGCAACAACAAAACTGTGAAAGCATTTGACAGTCAAATAAAAACTAGCTCACCAAACCTTAAAATCAGAACAGCATATACTTTAATCAAAAATGAGGCAAAGGACTTCAGATTTTTGTTTTGCCAAGAAATCAAATAAATTGATTTCAGTGTTTACCAGGACGACAGCAGCTGCAGGTCCAACAAAAGCGTACAGCAGTCCTCCTTCAAGAGAGAGCCAGCAACTGAAAATAATATTACATAAAAGCTAACAAAAATTAGTGATAAGTACCCAACCGCTGTGTCACACAAGTAGATTTATACAACTGACCCTGGAATACAGACAGAGCTCAGAGACTTGAAATACACAGTCTCAAAGTAGAAAAAGCTAGAATGAGTAGAATTCTAACTTTTGATGAGGGAAAACTACTATGTAGCCCTCACTAACAAAAACGTTCATTCAAGGCCTTTCGGGCAATTAAATCCAGTTAGACAAATTACTCTTGAGGTGATATTTCTGCATTTTCTTTCATTACAAAGTTGGCTATTACTAAAATTTTACAAAATGATGTGATCTTCTTTATGAAAATTTTTGAGTATGCCTTAAAACAAGAACGATATGCTTTAAGGGTCTTATGTGTGCTGTTCACCTGCTCTTCTCGGAGGCCTCTGAGGTACTGGGAAAAACCAGTTTAACAAACAGGAAGTGGATAAGCTCCACTTGTATGCTTTTTCTTTTTTAATTTCACTGTTTTCCCAGACTACTGAGAAAATTCACTGAAGATAAGCTTTTGAATAAGAATAAGTACAGCTGGGCTCATGTGAAGGACTAAATGCTCCAAGAGATGCCTTTTCACAGATAAAGGCATGATAGCCCATCTGGGTGAAAATATCTACTCTTCTGCAGCGGGGAGGAAGGAGGAGGCAGGGAGGGGCCCAGGGGGGCAGCAGGGCAAGATGGCGCCGGCACAGGCGGAGTCCAGGAAAAGTGAACGCGGGGGAAGGGACAGGGATTGTGGTTTCTTTTTTCCTGCTGAAGTAAAGCCACGCCCACCATTTCCTGAATTTGTTTTTCCACTTTTCACCATCTTATAGGTTCTTAGTCCATAAAATCAGCAGGTTGTCTTCAAAAGTAACACCATTACCCAGTACCTCAGCCATATTGGTTCTACCAATAACCTGCTCTGCACTGATTGTAGTTATATGACTTACATGCTCAAAACTCACAGAATATACACTTAACAAAGTAAATGTTAGGCTACAATTCTATCATACATTGGCTAAAAATTTAATCTACAGGTCATATAGACACATATAAGTATACACATCAATTTATGTACTTACATATATGTGTGTGTATATATAAATATATATAAAGTTTGCATATACTTATCTGTCAGCAGACAGATAAAATTGCATTTTTCTACTCCAGGGTAGATAATTATGATTTTATTTTGTATAAAAAATGGGGAGGAAAAAAAGACTACCTTGACAGAACACTTCAAGCTGTTATCTCAGAGATTGCTACTAAATTTCTACTGCAATTTTGTGTAAGCTCTTTTTCAGACTCACATTTAGTTTATCTCTGAAGATGTAGCAACAGATTTACTATCTCTTTGAAGTCATTTTTCTTAGGGGTTTAATACCATTATAATGGAAATTTACAGTCACACAATCAGTTCATGACTCGATGTGCTGCATTTGGCTTTAATTAGGAACTCCCTGAAAGTTGGAACCTAATACCTATAATCGTACGTCTTTTTCATATTCTCAATTCAGGGTCTTTCAAATACTGGATTCTTCGCTAAATAGTTATGCTATTGTAAAGAGTCGTAACTTGGAGGTAGCAGTGCTACAGTAAGCAGTATTTTGCAACATACACTATCAATGTTTTTCAGTGATATTGATTGCATAAGAAAAGCAAGCACTTTGGTAGCAGGAGCGCTTTCAGCTCCCAGGAAGCTTCACTGGGGTGGGAAGGTGGCATCATATTCACTTTTAGATGAACCCGGGGACAGCCTAATTAGTGTTATTTCCATCTCCACCCCGAAGACATACAGAGCTGCACTGTAAAACTTATGGCTTCAATGAGATGCCCACACTTTCTCCATTTCTCAGTTGCCTCCTCAGCACGACAGCAGAAGATATGAAAGTGCATTGTTTTAAATTTGAAATATTAAATATAAACTTTACTGTAAATTCTGATTGAATTTATCAGCACCGTAGTTGTAAGATGGGCTATCATACCTAGTTTTTGTCTTCTGATTTCTTCCATACGTTGAGCATTTCCTAATTTGGAACCTCTTGATGGCCCTGAGCTATATATTTTAGTATGTATTACCCTAAAAAAGCATCCACACTTGAACTAGGGCAATAGTATGTAGTTAATAACCATATATATTATCATGAATGATATTAGAAACTCAAGGTAGAATCATATTCTAAAAGGTAAGCATGTCAAGATTTGCTTATTCTTTAATAAAAGCACTTGAGATCGAACATGTGACCCCAAAATATTTTTAAAAGCCTAATGCACTGGTCTTAGTAAGAAATTAAAATGTGGATCCTGAACATGGCCAGATCATTTCCATCATTTCTCCATTAACCTCTGTACACTTGAGCCACCTTACACTGCTCCTTCCTAATGCAGTTTGTATCCCTGCTAGTGACTTCATGACAAAATACAGGCCACCAGCTGTCCCAACTAAGATGAATGAAGTCTCTTTGATGATCTGATGAACTACAAATGCAGTGTGTCACTGGGGATGGACTTACTAGTGGTCGGTGCCATAACCTTTCGTCCTGGTGAAGCCCACCGAGGTGGCCACCACTAATGCCGGTAAACCTGCAAGAAAAGCAAAGTCACACTTTGCACACAGCAAGAAAACTCCACATGCCCTGGCCCACCAAGAGTCGGGACAAGCTCCAGATGCTTCGATCGGAGAAGCTCCCTTTGGACAAATCACTGCACAAAATGTGTCCAACACAAACTTGCTTTCAAGTGCAAAAGTACACGAGTGTATATGACTAGGCTTCAGACAATGAGTACTTCCTGGATGTTGCTAGGTTACGACCACATTGGATGGGAGCTGAAGGGGCACCAATAACAGAGATTTAGTGTATCTTTTAAGTTACCTTTTTCTTTAGAGGTTTAGTGTTTTAAAGGAAATTTATAGTTATGAAATCAGAAAGGCAGAAACTGGGTAGGTGATGGAGTATCACAGAGGGACAAAAGGAAGTGGGAGGCACATGGACCAGAGCAAGCTGTGCTTATAAAGGAAAAAGTGAGTCTCACCATCGGACTCTGTCTTTCTAATACACCCATAATTGCAAGGATGCAGGACTAGGAAACCTGCTTACCCATGCACCTGTGCCTGTGCTACCTTAAGACTTCTTTTACTCTGTATGACTCACACCTCATTCAAGTTCAACAGAATCGCTCTACCTTTTGGTGGACAGAATTTAGCTTAATCATCTACATTGCTTAAAGGGCATTATTATTATTATTTATTTATTTATTTATTTATTTTTTTAAGTTTTGACCATGTGTTCTGTTCAGGAAGATCATGTAGCCTGCCTCTTCAGATTAAAAATTCTGTCATTTAATCATCTTCTTTCATTCATTCTGTCAGTCTTCTTCCTGCTATTGTTTCTTCTGTGAGCCTTCTTTAGCGACAACATATTCTTCCATGAGGTTTAATGACAAGAATCGTGGGACAGTATTTCAGGGGGATCTGCTATGCTTTCTCTTTAGCCAGATACTGGAGACTATATTATACATATTATATGCTATATACTGTGTACTATATACTGTATATTATATATTATAAGTCTTCTCCTTACCCCACTTTCTATCCTTCATCTTGGATGTCATTTGTTGACATATTGGATTGACTGAACCTAATTCATTAGGAAAAAAATGTTCTAGGTAGTAATTGAAAGATGAACAGTCTTCATTTCTTGCAATTTGGATTGTGTTTCTAATTTTCTTGCCTTGTACTTGGCCTATGCAACTCATATGCCACTGTTTTGTCCATCTATTTCACTCTGTTATCCATAATACTTTAATTTAACAGTGATTTTGGAGGGCAGCCATAAACCCTTTTGTTCAAGATCTTTAGTAACATAGTTTAAAAAAGTAGTTATTAATCTTTTTTTTTTTTTTTTTTGGTACCAGGTATCGAACTCAGGACCTTGTACTTGCCAAGCAGGCATTTATGCCGCTAAGCCATCTCCACAGCCCGGTAGTTATTAATCTTGGAAATAGACACCTTTTTCTCTTTGTTAAGAAATACATTTTATTATCTGCATTCTGTATTTCTTGAGTACTAATTCATGACAAAAAATACACCTTGACCTGATACTAATTCAACTTTAGATGGTTTCTGTCACGCAGTCTGGACAAACATTTTATGAAAATCAGTAGAACGCTTCTTCAACATCATCAGTGTTTTCCTAGTTGCCTGTACAGACAGTCCTAATATACTAAATATGAATATATTCCCATTAAAATTTGAGGTATAATCTTGGAGTATTCTTGACCTTCTTTTATCTCTCGGAAGCTTTTTTTGTACCATAACAGGTCTCTTTACTTACAATTTCCAAGGTTCGATTGAACTTCCTACTCCTGTCTTGAATTTAGCCTGAAATCTTGCAATTGTTTTATTGTGTGGGTCCTTTAAAACTCAGAGATAAGTCATAAGTATAGCTGTCCTTTTTTAACTCCTGAAAATGCGATTTTTAAGTTAAGTAGGCTACCATCAGAATTGGTCCTGTGAATAGTAATAATCTTTGAGAAGTTTTCATCATGAAGCAATTTGAGAGAATCTTCCCTAAATACAGTCAGAATTAATTACTTCTCAGGGTGGCAGAAATTCTGTTTTGAGGACCCCACTGACCACACATGAAGTTTCACTTGTATTCCAGGTAGCTTTCTCCCTGTGGTATGGATGGCTTTATTCTTTTATTGTTTTATGGTTTCTTAGAGTAGAATCTTCAAAAGCATTTGGGGGAAGGTAGATATATGTCTAATGAATCATCATGCTTTGGTCTTGAACTTTTAACACGTTACATTTTCAGGAAAAACTAAGAGATAGCACTTTTCTTTCCTGTAAACCTCTCAGGTCCTACTGCCCATCATGCAGTAAGTGCTGACTGTTAATTGACAAGCTATGTGAGCATTTGATCTTAACCTTTTTAAAATCCTACATGATGGATGAACATTTAAAAACAACCACCCTCCTCCATTTCCACTTCCCACATCAAATCAAACAAAAGTAGTCCAGGATGATCCTTCCCTTCTGCAGCGTAATACAGATACTCAAAATCACCTTAACGAGAGCCTGCGCAGAGTGCTTACCCCATCCAAGGCACAGAAAGCGTTTCCTTATGAGACGCGTCCTGATTTTTCCAGTTACAGCCATGTATGATTGCCATGCCTCAGTTAAAACCCAACAGAATGAAGCCAGGAAGAAAAAGTGCAAACATGCAGTGGTGGTGGTGCAGATGCTCTGTGGAGACAAACAAAGGAGACACAGGCTGAGCAGCGCTGGGCCTCGTGCGCTCTTTATTTCAGGTAGCTACTCTCTGCAGGACCAGAGTCCTTACTCACAGGAATTAGACACTCTGCAGTCATTATGCTGCCTACAGTGCTGACAAGAGAAAAAAAAGTGCATCCAGATTCTTTTATGAGAGCCCAGAATACAAGCTGAACCTCCAGAGAGATGAAAATTACTGCTTTATTGAGTTTTCCACCTAATATGTAATTATGGAAATGGTCCTTTCTTTGGCTTAATTTGTCACAGGCACCTTGAATAATTATTTGGACTGCTTTCTTTATCTTTCCTTTGTACCCCAGAATTCTTTTTGGTTGTTTTATCAGTGTTGATATTAAGCTTACTTCTGCAAATGCAACAGCCTTTCTAAAAGAAATATTACTTGGCTTCTACGTATGTGATATTCAAGATACAAGAGCAAAATGGAAAATGAAGTTTGGTTAATAGCCTAGGATGAAAATAACATACTTATTTTAAAGAACTTAATACTTTGCTTCTGTGTTAGCACATTGCACAACCATTCTAACCAAGTAATTGTGAAAAATCACTGACAGTGCACAGCCAGGAGTTTGTGTATTTTTCCCCCCACATAACTTAGTCATTCTAAATGCGGCACACTTCAGTTGTGACTTGTCTGCTGAAGACCAGCAGTTTCATTTTGGTAAAGACTTCTACTCAGTTCACTATTGGTATAACTTCTTTGGGTACATTTTATTCAAATACAATTCTTTAGAACAGAACTAATATTTTCATCAATCTCATTCTTCCTATTTGCAAAATTTCAAAATGAGCAAAATAGGAGAGTATAAATACCCCAAACCAAATATACAGAAATATTAACTCCCATCTTCCTGGTTCCAATCCCATCAAGTAATCAAAGCAGAATCTTAACAGAATGTTTATATTTTGGCCCCAAATTTCCAAAGAAGTCACTTTGTTGAAATTCACCAGAGGTGCAATCAGCTTCTTAGTTCAGTCCTATGCAAAGAACTGTACTGTGTTTGTTGCATCCTCTTGTTCCAGTGATGAGAGAAGATGCAGAGAAATTGTGCACCCTGTGAGAGAAATTGTGCACCCTGTGCCAGGTGCACAGCAAGGGCGCAGCCAATTCTAATGATCCCCTTCATTGTTACCAATGGTGCTCAGATGGATATGAGCAGTTTTCAGGATGTGCTTCCCTACATGGACTCAGTGCTTAAGTTTATTTTCACAAATGCCATAACTTTTGGTATAACAAAGTCATCGGTTTCTTTACTGATCTTCTTTACCTTTACCTTGGCTCAGAAATAAGGTAGCTAGCTGTAATAATATTGCTTTTAAAAATGTAGATTTAACCAATCCTGGTTCCTACTGCACTTGGGAGTTTGAGGCTGTTTTCCAAGTTAAGGTTTAAAGAAGTATAATGTGACTGCTTTGCTCATGCCTGGTCTATAATCCCAATCTGAATCCCAAAGATAACCTTCTCAGTCCCTCTTTGGAGATCAGTTATGATTCTAATTTAGGTTTCATTTCCTTCTACCAATTTGTCTCATCTCAAGTGTATGTGCTGGCAAAGTTATTTCTTTTCTATTTTTAAGTGATCAGTATGGGCTTTATTGAAAACTGTAAAAAACATGCTGGATGCCTTGAAATGTTATAGTAAAAAAATGAATATTTTAAAAACTTACTGTATTTGTTATTTTGTAATTCCCTGACTTGTTATGGTTTGTGTCTAGTGGTCCCCACAAAGCCTCATGCACTCACTGGGGTGGCTTCTAGAGTTTATGATTAATTCATGATCCATCGCTGAGATTATGGGTGTGGGTGCTACACCTGCCCTGGAATGGGCAATCTGCATACAATATAGGAAGGGAGAGAGGTTTGCTAGCTGCCACAGCTGCTGCTCCTGTCTTTGCTCTATGCTGTTTTCCTCTGCTAAGAATGGCTGCTTTCTCCCATGTGCTGCTCTGCCTTGGAGCCAGCTGAGTACGGACTGAAACCTACACTAACTGTGAGCTAAATAAGCCTTCTCTTCCTTCATTTTAGGTGTCAGGTATTTTGTCTCAGCCACAAGAGAAAAGTAACTATGACCCTTTATTTATTTTTATTTTTATTTTTATTTTTATTTTTATTTTTATTTGCAGAACCAGGGATTGAACTCAGGCCCTTGTGCTTGCCAGGGAAGCGCTTATTCCACTGAGCCATCTCCCCGCCCCCCCTTACTTTAATATTAATAAAAATTGAAGTAGATATAATTTGGGGCTAATAACATTTATTTTAATAGTTGATGTGTCTCTGCACAGTTATATGGCCACAGCCTGTGAGGAAGAACATATTTAACCAAGGAAGTACGGCCTGTTTTTACAGCCAATAGCTGACATTATGGCGAGATGAATGTTCATATGTCCAAATGCACTCCCAGTTGGGAATGAGCCCAACCAATCCAGGGGAAGAACATATGTGCCCTCAGGGGATAAACCCACAAAACTGATATTCTAGGAAGATGCAACAAATTATGATCCTAAGAAATAAAAGGAGTCACAGTATCCTTCATCATTGTATAAGGAAGTGGCAGGCAGTCAAACCCTTAGCACAAGGAAACACAATGATTTTCCTCTGATGTGTTAGACATGCTAATTTGTAGTAATTCAGAGTGTTTTTAAAATACAATGTTTTTCCAACGACCCATCTTACTTTCCAGAACTGCTATATCAGTTTCACAGGAGTAGCCATTCTAGTCTTCTGGGTTGGGAATGCTTTGATTTCTTCTCCTATGTGAACTAGATCCTGCATCAGCAACTACCCAAGTTCAAGCATTTCTAACTTCTCTCAGAATGGTGCCTTTCCCACCCACAACCCACAAATACTGATTGTCCTTTCCTTGAACAGGTTCATACTTTGGCAGCTCCCTGGTTATCGCTACCACAGGGCTCCCTATCCTGACTGTGAGGTGACAGCTTTTTCTCTAGAGCTGTCTGTTCTCCATTGCCACTGATCCAGATCTCCATAGCCCCCTGTTTTATATGAAGACTCAGCAGCACTTCCAGCTCATCATTTGACCCTTCTCTTGTCCCTGCCTTGTCAAAGCCCCATGCTGTCTGTGGAGGACCACCTGAGCAGCTGTTCTTGAAAGAAGAGCGATTGTCTCCATTTTGGCTGAGCACCAGATCTCCAAACATTCAATGCTTTTTCTGCACATGGCAGAGGTAAATGTAGGCCACCCGCCTAGCCCAGCTTACAATACTCACCTACTTCTCACAATTCTCAGTCATTCCTCCTCAAGCCACTCCTCCACTGAATAAAACCTGAGTGAGGCCCTGGGTCAGCCTCTTTGTTCCCAAAAGCCATCTTCATGGCTGGACTTAGGGCCCCTTGGCTCCCCAATAATAAGTATGTTTTAGTGCTTTTCTTTTGCTATGGTTTGCAAAAGAAACCATGGGAGCGGTAGATTGGAATTAACTTGGTGGGCTTCCAATAACACATCTTTGAGATTACAAATATTAACTTCTTGGACCAAGAGGAAAACCGGGAGGGACTCCTACAGCCATCTCCTCACATCTCATCGGTGCCACAGCTGATGGGTGCTCCCGGCAAATAGGTCCTAACTTGAAAATGGATTTAAGTCACCTGGCTTATACTTGCCAGCCTTAAGGACATCTTTGACTGCAGATTCTTACAGACATTCTTAAAATAAATGACAAAAAAGATGTGATGAGTGATAACCCTGACCAGTATTCTAAAACCCAAAGCAGATGATTAGAAAATGAAGATGGCCGGGACATCAGACGGGAAGTGTAAGGAGTCGGAGGAAGACACAGAAAATAGGACAGTGACACTGTCCAGGGGACATGAAGTTCTAAGCTATGCTGGCAGTGCTTCCTGAAGGAAGAAATGAGGCCATGCAGGGAAAGGCAGAAGTTAAAGGAAAGGGACAGATGCGGGAGGACACAGGAAATAAAGATACATTCTCGGCTGTATCAGAGACACTGATTCACCGGAGATGAAGGAAGAGTATGTTTGAACGTACAGCATTGTTAACATTGTTAAGGCAGCTATGGAACAGTAGAAAAATATATTTGTAAAATTACAGAAGAAATGCAGTTAAGAGAAATCCATCAGGGCAAAGGCGATAACACATGAGAAGGGCAACAGATTAGAAAACAACGAAACATGGGAGAAAATAAGAAAACAAAAATAATTCCAAAGGTGTCATAAATCACAGTAAGTAGAAATTGTTTAAAGTCACTTGTTAAAGGGCCGGCCAGATAGCTCAGTGGACTAAAGCGCCTACTTAGGCAGGTGCAGGGAATGGGGTTCGCTCCCCGCCCTGGAGCATGCTGAGACAGTGACTGAGACAGGGCGTGGTTGCATGGGCCTGTAATCCCAGTGCTTGGGAGGCTGAAAACGGGGATTACTATGAGCCTGTTCTGTGTAGGGAGACCCTGTACAAAAAAAAAAAAAAAAAAAAAAAAAAAAATCACTTGCTAGCTAAAAAGTGTATAATTTTGCAGTGGATAAAATCAGTGGTAAGCCAGGGATACAGCTCAGTGGCATAAATGCCTCTCTGACAAGCGCAAGGTCCTGAGTTCAATCTCTGGTACTGTTAAAAAAAAAAAAAAGAAAGAAAGAAAGAGAAAAGAAAACAGTAATATATTTCAGATCCAAAGACACAGATCTATTGAGAATAAAGAAATTAAAACCTATATTTTAATTAAATGCTAATATGCAGAGGCCAGATAGCACAATATTAATATTGGAAAAACCACTAGCAGTAATGAAGAAGGATATTTTACACCAAAGAAATGGGCAGTCCATGAATAAGATTTAGAAGTGACCCTTCTGTGTGAAACCAGTGGCATTTTTCACAGTAGATGAAGCAAAAATTGAGAAACCAGAAAATACACTATTAAGTGAAGATTAAAATGAACTCAGGATGTATCTCTCAGCCATAGAAAATGAAGGGAAAAATAGTATTT